GGGACCCCCCATTGACCCGAAATTTTGATTTTCCCGTAAAAACTTTCCTATGGGGAAAAAGTGGAATTTTCCTGCAGGACTGTGTCTGGGTAAACGAGAGCTTTCGATTGATACCCTTTTTTACCCTAGCGCCCCGTTTTTGGCCGTACAAGGGCGAATTTACGGATTTTTTACGAGTTTACGGGGCTTTAAGGGCCTTAAACGTCAATGCAACGGGGACCGTTTTGGGGAAAGTTTCTCGGCTGGTGGTGGGGCACCTGTGTGCCGATTTTGAACGAAATCGGGGGGGACCCCAAATTGACCCAAAATTTTGATTTTCCCGTAAAAACTTTCCTATGGGAAAAAAGTGGAATTTTCCTGCAGGACTGTGTCTGGGTAAACGAGAGCTTTCGATTGATACCCATTTTTACCATAGCACCACTTTTTTGTCCGTACAAAGGCGATTTTACGGATATTTTACGAGTCTACGGGGCTTTACGGGCCTTAAACGTCAATGCAACGGGGACCGTTTTGGGGAAAGTTTCTCGGCTGGTGGTGGGGCACCTGTGTGCCGATTTTGAACGAAATCGGGGGGGACCCCCCCATTGACCCGAAATTTTGATTTTCCCGTAAAAACTTTCCTATGGGGAAAAAGTGGAATTTTCCTGCAGGACTGTGTCTGGGTAAACGAGAGCTTTCGATTGATACCCTTTTTTACCCTAGCGCCCCGTTTTTGGCCGTACAAGGGCGAATTTACGGATTTTTTACGAGTTTACGGGGCTTTAAGGGCCTTAAACGTCAATGCAACGGGGACCGTTTTGGGGAAAGTTTCTCGGCTGGTGGTGGGGCACCTGTGTGCCGATTTTGAACGAAATCGGGGGGGGACCCCCCATTGACCCGAAATTTTGATTTTCCCGTAAAAACTTTCCTATGGGGAAAAAGTGGAATTTTCCTGCAGGACTGTGTCTGGGTAAATGAGAGCTTTCGATTGATACCCATTTTTACCCTAGCGCCCCGTTTTTGGCCGTACAAGGGCGAATTTACGGATTTTTTACGAGTTTACGGGGCTTTAAGGGCCTTAAACGTCAATGCAACGGGGACCGTTTTGGGGAAAGTTTCTCGGCTGGTGGTGAAGCACCTGTGTGCCGATTTTGAACGAAATCGGGGGGGACCCCCCATTGACCCAAAATTTTGATTTTCCCGTAAAAACTTTCCTATGGGAAAAAAGTGGAATTTTCCTGCAGGACTGTGTCTGGGTAAACGAGAGCTTTCGATTGATACCCATTTTTACCATAGCACCACTTTTTTGTCCGTACAAAGGCGATTTTACGGATATTTTACGAGTCTAGGGGGCTTTACGGGCCTTAAACGTCAATGCAACGGGGACCGTTTTGGGGAAAGTTTCTCGGCTGGTGGTGGGGCACCTGTGTGCCGATTTTGAACGAAATCGGGGGGGACCCCCCATTGACCCAAAATTTTGATTTTCCCGTAAAAACTTTCCTATGGGAAAAAAGTGGAATTTTCCTGCAGGACTGTGTCTGGGTAAACGAGAGCTTTCGATTGATACCCATTTTTACCATAGCACCACTTTTTTGTCGGTACAAGGGCGAATTTACGGATTTTTTACGAGTTTACGGGGCTTCAAGGGCCTTAAACGTCAATGCAACGGGGACCGTTTTGGGGAAAGAGTCTCGGCTGGTGGTGGGGCACCTGTGTGCCGATTTTGAACGAAATCGGGGGGACCCCCCATTGACCCAAAATTTTGATTTTTCCGTAAAAACTTTCCTATGGGGAAAAAGTGGAATTTTCCTGCAGGACTGTATCTGGGTAAACGAGAGCTTTCGATTGATACCCATTTTTACCCTAGCGCCCCGTTTTTGGCCGTACAAGGGCGAATTTACGGATATTTTACGAGTCTAGGGGGCTTTACGGGCCTTAAACGTCAATGCAACGGGGACCGTTTTGGGGAAAGTTTCTCGGCTGGTGGTGGGGCACCTGTGTGCCGATTTTGAACGAAATCGGGGGGGACCCCCCATTGACCCAAAATTTTGATTTTCCCGTAAAAACTTTCCTATGGGGAAAAAGTGGAATTTTCCTGCAGGACTGTGTCTGGGTAAACGAGAGCTTTCGATTGATACCCATTTTTACCCTAGCGCCCCGTTTTTGGCCGTACAAGGGCGAATTTACGGATTTTTTACGAGTTTACGGGGCTTTAAGGGCCTTAAACGTCAATGCAACGGGGACCGTTTTGGGGAAAGTTTCTCGGCTGGTGGTGGGGCACCTGTGTGCCGATTTTGAACGAAATCGGGGGGGACCCCCCATTGACCCGAAATTTTGATTTTTCCGTAAAAACTTTCCTATGGGGAAAAAGTGGAATTTTCCTGCAGGACTGTGTCTGGGTAAACGAGAGCTTTCGATTGATACCCATTTTTACCCTAGCGCCCCGTTTTTGGCCGTACAAGGGCGAATTTACGGATTTTTTACGAGTTTACGGGGCTTCAAGGGCCTTAAACGTCAATGCAACGGGGACCGTTTTGGGGAAAGTTTCTCGGCTGGTGGTGGGGCACCTGTGTGCCGATTTTGAACGAAATCGGGGGGGACCCCCCATTGACCCAAAATTTTGATTTTTCCGTAAAAACTTTCCTATGGGGAAAAAGTGGAATTTTCCTGCAGGACTGTATCTGGGTAAACGAGAGCTTTCGATTGATACCCATTTTTACCCTAGCGCCCCGTTTTTGGCCGTACAAGGGCGAATTTACGGATATTTTACGAGTCTAGGGGGCTTTACGGGCCTTAAACGTCAATGCAACGGGGACCGTTTTGGGGAAAGTTTCTCGGCTGGTGGTGGGGCACCTGTGTGCCAATTTTGAACGAAATCGGGGGGGACCCCTTATTGACCCAAAATTTTGATTTTCCCGTAAAAACTTTCCTATGGGGAAAAAGTGGAATTTTCCTGCAGGACTGTGTCTGGGTAAACGAGACCTTTCGATTGATACCCATTTTTACCCTAGCGCCCCGTTTTTGGCCGTACAAGGGCGAATTTACGGATTTTTTACGAGTTTACGGGGCTTTAAGGGCCTTAAACGTCAATGCAACGGGGACCGTTTTGGGGAAAGTTTCTCGGCTGGTGGTGGGGCACCTGTGTGCCGATTTTGAACGAAATCGGGGGGGACCCCCCATTGACCCAAAATTTTGATTTTTCCGTAAAAACTTTCCTATGGGGAAAAAGTGGAATTTTCCTGCAGGACTGTATCTGGGTAAACGAGAGCTTTCGATTGATACCCATTTTTACCCTAGCGCCCCGTTTTTGGCCGTACAAGGGCGAATTTACGGATATTTTACGAGTCTAGGGGGCTTTACGGGCCTTAAACGTCAATGCAACGGGGACCGTTTTGGGGAAAGTTTCTCGGCTGGTGGTGGGGCACCTGTGTGCCGATTTTGAACGAAATCGGGGGGGACCCCCCATTGACCCAAAATTTTGATTTTCCCGTAAAAACTTTCCTATGGGGAAAAGTGGAATTTTCCTGCAGGACTGTGTCTGGGTAAACGAGAGCTTTCGATTGATACCCATTTTTACCCTAGCGCCCCGTTTTTGGCCGTACAAGGGCGAATTTACGGATTTTTTACGAGTTTACGGGGCTTTAAGGGCCTTAAACGTCAATGCAACGGGGACCGTTTTGGGGAAAGTTTCTCGGCTGGTGGTGGGGCACCTGTGTGCCGATTTTGAACGAAATCGGGGGGGGACCCCCCATTGACCCGAAATTTTGATTTTTCCGTAAAAACTTTCCTATGGGGAAAAAGTGGAATTTTCCTGCAGGACTGTGTCTGGGTAAACGAGAGCTTTCGATTGATACCCATTTTTACCCTAGCGCCCCGTTTTTGGCCGTACAAGGGCGAATTTACGGATTTTTTTTACGAGTTTACGGGGCTTCAAGGGCCTTAAACGTCAATGCAACGGGGACCGTTTTGGGGAAAGTTTCTCGGCTGGTGGTGGGGCACCTGTGTGCCGATTTTGAACGAAATCGGGGGGGACCCCCCATTGACCCAAAATTTTGATTTTTCCGTAAAAACTTTCCTATGGGGAAAAAGTGGAATTTTCCTGCAGGACTGTATCTGGGTAAACGAGAGCTTTCGATTGATACCCATTTTTACCCTAGCGCCCCGTTTTTGGCCGTACAAGGGCGAATTTACGGATATTTTACGAGTCTAGGGGGCTTTACGGGCCTTAAACGTCAATGCAACGGGGACCGTTTTGGGGAAAGTTTCTCGGCTGGTGGTGGGGCACCTGTGTGCCGATTTTGAACGAAATCGGGGGGGACCCCCCATTGACCCAAAATTTTGATTTTCCCGTAAAAACTTTCCTATGGGGAAAAAGTGGAATTTTCCTGCAGGACTGTGTCTGGGTAAACGAGAGCTTTCGATTGATACCCATTTTTACCCTAGCGCCCCGTTTTTGGCCGTACAAGGGCGAATTTACGGATTTTTTACGAGTTTACGGGGCTTTAAGGGCCTTAAACGTCAATGCAACGGGGACCGTTTTGGGGGAAGTTTCTCGGCTGGTGGTGGGGCACCTGTGTGCCGATTTTGAACGAAATCGGGGGGGACCCCCCATTGACCCGAAATTTTGATTTTTCCGTAAAAACTTTCCTATGGGGAAAAAGTGGAATTTTCCTGCAGGACTGTGTCTGGGTAAACGAGAGCTTTCGATTGATACCCATTTTTACCTCTTTGTGACGTCATTTCTAGGGGAAAACGGGTCATAAAGGTTTCCCTCTACCGGGGCCTTTTTTCCCCCTACCGAATCTGTGCTGTGCTGAATCTGTGCTGAATCTGTGCCAACTTCCGTTACATTCCATATTTTAGGTCTTTTACAGCGCAACTGCTACATTCCTGAAGCAGTCCATTGTGTTCTAGTTTTGCGAATTTCATCCTAAGCTCCTACACGAACCAATTGCTTTGCAAATATTCTGCCCGCGTCTGCTGATCCTGCTCTCAATAGCCAGATTAACAGGAAAGGTCCTTGTTACGAACATTATCCTTGAGTCATTTCACGCGTGATAGTGTCCATTGATCTGTTTAGGATAGGATTCAATTTCCCCAGGACTTTTTCACTTTTTCTAAATTTAGCTTTATTTTCCTTCGGTCTGAACCTATAGAAATATCAGGTATGTATATCTTATGTCATTGTCAAGTTTATATTGCTGACTAGGTGCCTATTTTTGGGATCATTGCTTTTTTCACCCTCATCATTGCACAGTAACTTTTAAATTTCAGTCACCAAAAATGCCCGAATAGTATGCCCAAGGTATTGTTTTCTAGTAATGGTGAAGAGGATGTTTAAAAGATTATCCAATTATATGTAATTTGCACTTTGATTGCCTGTGTGAAAATGAACCCGTTAAAACATTCAATTGATAATTATACGATAGGGACCAACACATTTGGATTGATATTTCCTGACGAAGAAGAACTGAAACCTGTGACATATAATAACCCTTATTTTTACACATTTTAACAGAAAAAAACACATCCTTTTAAATCCTACCATTTTCCCATGTCACTGACTGATGACAATAGTGATTAGTGAATGAACTGATTGTCATGTAACATGATTTGCCTTACACTTCCATGTTCCTGGCTTTACTCTTCATATTTAAGCAGAATCTTGGCTTGACAGAGTTATTAGTGAGCCATAACAACAATATTTTGCACACAGGCTCAATGTCTGAAATATCGCATTCAATTACAGATAAATGCTAATATAGAGGTGAATGTAGGTACAGCCCACCACTAAAGTAATGTAGGGTTTTACCAATCTCAACGGTTGGCTTTGACTGGCGATTGTTTAATGCAGAGTGATCGAAAAGAAGATGCCAATAGCTAAAGTTGCAGCTGCAAGGGTGACGATACATATAAGCTACATTCAAAGTTTCATTGTAGTCTTCTGGTTAATCGTTCCTAAGTTTCAGAAGCAGAACATACCCATGGGCCATGACTGAAACCGCACATTACTTCTGCTGTGGACTGTACCTACATGGTCCTAAATAACCCAATTACTAAACCAGGAAAAATGTTTATAATATGTATCCAATTGTTTATTTATCCTTGTTAATTTAATATTTATTGGGACAAGCAGCCAATCCGTGGGACTTTTACACATATGCGGGCTATGCCCCTGCTTCAGCTTCCAGATTTGATTAAATTGTGTTTGCACTATGTAATGAAAACAAAATGGATTTAACAGATAAGTATGTTTCAAATTGCTCTGCGAGACAAAAGGAAACAATATCTGAGGAGTTTTTGGATTTTTTTGTGGTTTTGCTCTTCAGCCCCTGTAGCATGCCATCCCAAAACACCTTCACTGGATTCACAAATGACAGGAGCTATTTGACATTCTAGTCATGGATGGTGGCAGCAGAATCACTGGGGCTCAGCGAGATGAAATAATGGAGCAAGTAAAACAGCAGATTGCTGTTGCAAATGCCCAGGAGCTTCTAACTGTAAGTTATCATTTCATTTCATTATTTATCATTATCATTTCATGTTGGATTCACAATAGATTCAGTAATTGCCTAGGTGATGCCATTCTAGTTAGAATTATCAAACATTTAGTGTATTTGTTGAATAATAATGTTTTTATTGGATCGTGATTGAAGCACTCACGTTCGTTCAGCATTGTATCTTAATTTTCAACCGACTCGTATTTATAATATTGCACAAACCATAAAACAATGTCTGTTTCAGAAAATGACAGAGAAATGCTTTGCGAAGTGTATATTCAAGCCTGGTGCTGCACTTGATAGCTCTGAACAGGTGAGTTGAATGCCATGAAATGCTGGCAACACTTTGAGGTCACTTGCAACGATACCCTTCACCCACATGCTTTCTATCATTATCACTTTCGCCTTTCATGGAAATAGCTTCAGCTCGTTCTCCGTTGCCTGCCCCGTACACTGCAGTGTGACTCGTATGGCGTTCTTTGTCCCTCTCCGCAGAAATGCGTCGCCATGTGCATGGATCGCTACATCGACGCGTGGAACACGGTATCGCAGGCCTACAGCTCCCGGTTGAAGCGGGAACAGCAGCGGTTATAGGGCCGCGCCGCCCCGTCCCCGATACCCCCATAGTTTCCGATGTCTTTTCTCGTATCGCTGACTGGATTTTTACATATGACCGAGTCATGGACTAAGCGTCGTCTGATTCGGTATACTTGTCGGTGTACAATACATGATGTAGAAATCGAGTAAGTTGCTTTCAGCATGCATACCCGATCGCTGCATTAGTGTAGCGAGACTACTCATGCCCTTTATCTAATGAGACAAGGTCAACCGTTCGTTAGTTACACAATAAATGCGATAAAGACACAAAAATCGCCCAGAAAATATCCATTAGCAATCCGTCAGTTTTCCTTCCGCTCGATCGAAGAAACAAGCAATGCTGATACAGCGAATAGCAGTTTATTGACTCTATGCGTGTGCTAAAACACCACTTCTTATGCAATGAATCGGACAGAATGATAGTAACTTCATATGGCCATACCAATTGATTAATTCAACCGCGACTAACGCACGACGTTTTCATGCAGATTGCTGTAACAAACAGGGCTCCGAAGGGAAATAAACGACGGCTTGCTGTGTGGGTCCATTGACGTAACAACCATACTCGACAACGCTACTACCACGATCAGAAATAATGTATGTATATAATGCATCTGCCTCGGGCCGAGCGCTCCGCCGCCGCCTAGACACCTCAGATCTGGGGCGCGGCCGGCCACTGCCGCCTACACACCCGCGCGCGCCCCCTATATCACCAGCGCCGCGGTCAGGGCAGGGAAGAGCTAGTCGGTTCGTCCTAAGTAGAGCTCGGTGTATCGGCGAGTCGAGACGGAGCGCGCGCGCGTCCGGCCGAAAAAACATGCTGTAGCGCGGCGGCGCGCAGCTCTGGAATGTTGGGGCCACTCGACCAGAGACCATACCAACGACAAAACATGCCCAGCGGCTCACAGAGTACACACTAGATACGGCTGAAATGCACAACAACACGTATTATATTCCGTAGTATTGCGGACTGGGGCCTCGGCCAATTTTAGATTACTTTAGTATAACAACTCTAGGGGCATGCACTGGCTGTTCGCAGCTGCTGGTTTGGTGGCAGTTGTTCGTCATTGTTGGCGCCTCTGGCGTTTGGCCGGCGGGCGAGGGTGGGCCGGTCGGGGCGGGCCGGGCCGCCGGGGGGCGGCTACACCGGACACGGTACATTCACTCTCTGCAGCCGACCGGAGCCCGGCGGACCGGCCCGCCCGGCCGGCCCCGCCGACAGGCCCTCCACAACGCGCTATTCTCGACTGGCACCACCGGCCGGGCCGCGGGAGCCGCCGACCGCCGCCACTGCACCGCTCGGCGGCCGTCACACTACGGGGACGGCGCAGACGGCGCCTCTGCACCCGCCGGGGCAGCTACCGGGGCACACACACGGCTGACAGACAACACTGAGAGGCGGCGCCGGCCCGACAACACGCGCACAACAACCTAGACGGCGGCGGCGGCGGCGACGGCCGCGCCTCGTCCTGTCCCTGCCGGACACACGGGCGGCCGACGGTCAGCGGGACCCGCGCAAGGGCGGAGAGGGGAGTGCTGGTAACGACAACGAGGGTTAGGGTAGGACGCGTATAATGACTGAAACACATGCGAGACAGAGTACATTGATGATAAGGTCCACGAATTCCTCGATTACTCTCTTCGAAAAATTTAGCCAACCTCGACAGAGATAATCCTTTTCAAACATTTAAAAAATACAGCAAAAATTAAAAAAAAAATACTTCACGAGTGACGAAAGCGTGAATCATTAGTTGCAATAGCTGAATACGCGTCCCCCAATACCAGAATGTGACAATCTCCGCGTCCCAAGCACACACATTTAGCGGTGGCCCCGCGAGTACTGACCTTCGCCGTTCTGCTTCATCTACCTCTGCGGGCTACCCGCTTACAAATGCCCGAACGGATCGAAGGCGCCGGCCGCCTGCGGGTTGGCGGCCGGCACACCCTGAAAAAGGAGGACGTGTCACTGCATGACGGGGAGAGCGGACGAACTGTAGATGCGGCTCATATCACAGCAGCTCATATCACATCATCATAAACTGATGATGATGATGATGATGATGATGATGATGATGATGATGATGATGATGATGATGATGATGATGATGATGATGATGATGATGATGATGATGATGATGATGATGATGATGATGAGCTCGTGCAGCTAGCAACACTGACTGATGTACTTCGGGGGGACTTGGCAATAGTGTCTCTGCTACTCACTTGAAGTTCAATTTCTCGCCCACACTCATAAACCAAGCCCAAGTGTCCAATTACTGATAATAATCACGCTGGTTATTTGTACCGTTTAAGAGCTGAACGCTCTGGTACAGCCACCACCCCAAAACTGTTCTGCCATTAGAAATGGGCCCACCACCGCCTCTTCCATCCGCCGACACTTACCACGGGCGCCGGCTGCGGGGCGCCGTACATGCCGAACGGAGTCTGACCCTGCTGCGGCGGCATGGCGCCGGGACCCTGCGGAGCATGGACATACGATAGGTCACACACTGTTACAGGGTGAGGTAGGGGACAGCCACTGCTGTGGTGGCATAGCCGCTCCAGCCGCTCCAGGGTGATAGAGGGGTGCCCGTGGAACAAAAAAGGCATCCTCTGCGAAACCCTGGACTGCTGACTGTTTGGGAAAGCTGCATAATGCAACAGTCAGGTGACAGTGTTCCTACCTATCAAGAGTTTCGCTGCAATAGTTTATGCTCTTATATTGCATCAGCACCAATTCCCAGCATCCTGCCCATGCTATCCCAGACAGTGCACTCGTCCGCCCTCTGGCGTCGTACCATGGGGCGCGGCGGCGCTCCGGTCAGCCCGGAGGCGGCCGGCACGGTCCAGTTCTGTCCGCCGGTCCTGGTTGTGTTCTTGGAAGGCGAGCCCCAGCTCTGCTTCTGCGCTGTGTGGGCGCCGCCGCCGCCCGAGATACCCAGGTTCTGCACCAGACTCTGCAGACTCATGTCCAGGTCGCTGCTGATGAGTTTCGGCTGCGGCTGCGGCCGCTGCGCCTGCGGAGCGCCCATGGCCGGCGCCGGCGCGCGGCCCGTCGGCTGCAGCACGTCGCCGAACACGCTCGGACCTGGGTGGGTGGAGAGGCGGGGTGTCAGAGGGGCGGACGAAGGGTGGGTCTCACGGTCATTGAAGACGAGCTGCAAATACAGCTGGCAGTCTGGGGCACACCATCAAGTAGCTCTACACAGTACACACATACGTCGGTAATTCATTACAACGCACAGACACAAACCTCCAAAGAACTGACAGACACATAATATTCTTCCATATGTCACGGAAATAAACCAAGAGACGTTTCCAAATGTCACGAAAATAAACCGATACATGTTTCCAAATGCAACGGAACTAAAACGACCACGACTAATAACTACGATCAATCGCATTCCACGTCACCGACGATGGTGTTTTCGCCGCAGTCGCTCACACTCCTTCACCTGTGGAGGAATAGTCGTGCATCACTGACGTTTCAACACCATCATGCAGTCTTCAGTCGCCATTCCTACCAACACCAGTGCCGACGAACTTCTCCCTCGATCGCCTTCGAACACATCACAACACCGAGAGACGCGCCACGGCCTCGCCCTCGCCGCATGCAGAAGGACCGGGCGGGCGGCGGGCCGAGTGCAGCGTCCGTTACCTGTGCTCGTCTCGCCAGCCGGCGGCGGGGTCGGGGCGGCGGCGGCGGCAGCGGCCGGGGGCTCGGCGCCGGCCGCCGGCTGACCTTCCTCAGCTGCGTGTAACGACACCACCACCGCTCAGCGGAGCGACCCGACGGCGCGGTGTGCGAGGGGACCCCAGGACTAGCGCTACCCAACCGCAGGAACTGGCGCGCCCAAAAACATCGCCGCTCAGACCCAAAAACACAGCGCACCCAAACACTAAATACTCAGAGAAATAGTGCCGAACGGCTAGCCGACCCGCGTGTCAGGATCATAATTAAAGCAGGGCGCGCTAAAGCTGCTTGTGTATTACTTCATCAGCCACCTATCTGCATAAACGCTACTCAATGAAATACGAAATACACATAGAAAGCTAATTCAGTTCTTATTTCACAAACTGATCAATGAATTCGTACTTCGTATGCATTTAACACATGCTCATATTGCTGCAATATGAATCCGCACAAACAATTTTCTGATGCATTTGCACCTCAGTGGGAATCTCGCATGGCCAAAGGACATATTGCGACGCTTCAGAATGCTTGGCATCAACGTGCCATTCTGACATTTACTCAAGGTAAATGTTTATGCAACGGCAATGGTCTTCAATCGGCATCCTCAACCCGAATGTATGTACAAAAAGCTGAGCTGCTTTTTCCATAATAAAAATGGAAGTGATGCTTACCTCCACCATCAGGTACGATTGAAAATACTCTTATCTGATTACTGACTACATAGTAAGTCAGCGGCAATCCATTGATAACTGAGGAGGTATGTAAAATATAAGGCCAAGCGACAAAAAAGCATCAGCTGTCAGTTTAGATGCATATTTTATCCACTTACATGAGTCTCGATCACGGATAAGACAGCATCTGCGGAGTTATCAGATGAGGGATGCTCGAGGAGGTCACTTAGCATCCACGTCTAACTCTACAACTTCGCTAAAATATCATCTCCGACACTACTTTCATGAGCAGGATCCAGCTTGACATCGCGATTTCTTAACTGATAACTTACGGTCCTGACGTGTATGTTTCGCTCGTACCTCTGTATCCCTGCGACGGCTGGATCATGTCGAAGTTGGCGAACCCGGCGCTCGGTGCCGAGTCAAACAGGTTGAAGCTGTTAGCACCGGCACCTAGAACAAAGAACATTCGGGCGGCGTAACCTACCTACGTCAAACAGCATCGAGTCATTGACCATTGCGTATCGCAGTGGTAGGTGTAACGAAGCACGCTTATATCAATCCGCAATAATTGGTATTACATGGAAGTATTCCAAACAACGAGCCATGCCCAACCTCAAAGGAGTTTTTGAGGTTGAGGTTCAAAGTAGTTTTTGAGTCAAAGAAAAACTTTGGCAATCAGTGAGCAGCCTTCAGCAAACAACTACTACCAGCATACTCCAAAATATCCCGGTACACATATCATGCCATATTCCCTCTCGCTCGCTATCGCCACCCCGCG